CCCTAAAATTTCGAAACAGATGCTTGTGTCTCGCTCTACTTCGTTAGTGTCAAAGGCCCTTAATGTGTAGACAATCTTGTGTCGTCCAATTAAAGGTAATCCTCGTGCCTCGAACAAAAAATCTACATTAAACGGCTCGTGAATAAATTTAGTCTAGAAGAGAAGGACATATGTTGTTTATAAGTAGATAATATAACTAGATTATATAGAACTTACTCCAGGCAGAATGCATTTCTCTCTGACTTGTTCCTTATTGATTATGTATTTCGACCAATACTTGTACCAGTACTGTTCTTCTTCATAGAGAGATGAACAGAATTCACGGACATTTATATTGAATACTGTTGGCTGCCAGGATCCACGATCAAAACGATTTAATCCAACAGTCAACTGAAATCAATAAAATTATTGTGATGTTTGGATCCAATTTAATGTTTATTTTAGGGTGATTTGAATTCACTCAAACAATGTTGAAGTTAATAACCTGAATGCGATCGCCAGGTTGAATATTCCAGACGCAGGTAAGATTGCCCGTAAAGCGTACCGTCACAAAATCCGTTTCAAAGGTTCCCTCAGAGGTATCGAAAACTCCATTAATATTGTGTACATTACTTGGTTTATTGGGACAGTCGGTGAATATATTCTCATTTTCAAGAAGGAACTTATATTTTGTAGCACTCGATTGTCTTCCGAATAAAATCAAAATCAACACCTGGAATACAAACTTTGGTGGGGTCCACATGTTTTGGATGTTCGCGTTGTTTAGTCGAATCAATTTCGAATTGGTTTTCGTGCATTACGGGCTGTGGGTTTTTATACACTAGAATATAAATTATATAACCCGTGCCAAATAAACAACAATAATTAAACATGTTTGTTAGATCGCACCTAATGTCAAAAAGGTTGTCCTGGTATCAAATTAATTATAACATGCTGCTAGATATATATCGTTCAACATGTATATTTGTTTTTTTTTTTTAATAATTGTAATTATAGTGAGTTTCTCTCCGACAGTTAAACGAGACGGGAGTGCGTAACAACCAAATCAAAGTGATTTACGATACAATATCGGCGTGTAATAAACTTTCTGACGCTAAGCGTCACTGTTTAAGTTTGGGCAATGCTGTTACGGCATTGCCGGCAACGATAATTTACAAAAAACTAAAACAATTATAATAAACAAACAGAAATTAACTTGCCCAAATGCAATAAAACGCAGCGCAGGCGGCTGCAGCTGCATAGAAGCGAAAAAAACGTTTCTTACCTCCTCGAGTTTGGTCTACATCACAGTCACATACGCAGTGGCTTCAGCTACTTCTGCGACGGCTCGCAACACAGCCAGCCCCAACAATGCACAAGGCAGCAGCAGAAAGCCATCATGCCACCCTACAACCACCCCATGCGCCGCTAACATGCCCCTCAACACACCTGTTGCACCCGCAATTTACACCAGCACACAAGTCGGTACTGTGGCTTATATCGAACCCCCGAGTTCGTAATGGCAAAAAGGCGGCACTGCCAGGCGCAAGCGCCCTAGCGCTCCCCTCTCGCCTGATCAAACCAACAAAAAGGGAAAGACCAAAATCCTATCTAACCAGCAAACATCAAGGGTAGTACAAACTAGCCGGTCAAGCGACGACATCCCATCTACGTCAAAAGATGCTCGTCTAAGGATGAATCGATTTGCAGCTCTTGACACTGCCGACAACGAGGCTGACGAAAATCAGAAAGATACGGAATTAGATGATATGGAGACAGAAGCAAGCATGCTGGAGGACCTACCACTGCCTGCGACAACTCCACCGCCTCCTAAGTCTAGAAAACCTGGTCCCATCATGGTTCCGGGTATAACAGATATTCACAAATTCCAGGATGCCTTGGTCCAAGTCATTCCACCTAGCAGCTACTCAACTCGTACGTCTGGCTCAGGCCTAACTAGGCTATACACCAAGGACGTTCCAACCTTCCGTAAAGTAATTGCTTTCATGGAAAAGTCTAAATGCCAAAACTACCACTACCAACTCCACGAAGATAAACCTTTTCGCATTGTCATCAAACAGATGGCGTCCTCTACAGCCCAACGCTTTATAATAAAGGAAATGCTAGACAAAGGTCACAAGGTAGTCAACATCTTCAATCCTAAAGGCAAGACCTCAAATGGCACTGAGCAAAGCAGGCTAAATATGTTTTTCTTAGACCTCAAAACGGCTCCCAACAATAAGGAAGCACTTAAAATAAACCATTTGTGCCGTCAAGGAGTCTTAGTGGAGCGCGTTACCCAACGCATACCAGATAGTAAAGCGAACGAAAGGCAGCTCAACAACATCCCCGGAAACAAACCGAGCGAGGATACCGACTCGAGAATTTCGGCTCTTGAAGAGCTCTTATAGCCCCTGGACCAGATCCTTGATACGCTTCATAAAAACTCCGAAACTCAGCACATCCTGATGTCGCTAATTTCTCGCCTTATCCCATCAAAATGAGCGAATTAAGGATCGGATTATGGAACGCGGATGGCCTTAACAGAAAAATCCAGGAACTAAGGACTTTTATCGCCACCCACGTCATTGACATAATGCTACTAACGGAAACGCACATGCACATGTGCTCAAAAATATATGTCCCCGTCCGTACTGTCCCATAAAAAGAGAGGATGGTTCCTGGGCCAGATCGAGCTTAGAACGCGCTGAAACTTTTGCCACGCACCTAGAGGAGCGATTTAAACCGTTCGACTCCCCCCACTCGCTGCATGAAGAATACATAGACGGACCCTCGAAGCACCACAACAACCTGATCTGTCCACTCTCCAGGTGACCCTCAAAGAGGTCGAAACACAAATCCAAGCGCTTAAGATTCGTAAAGCCCCTGGATCTGATGAACTGGACAGCAGAACAATAAAGCTGCTCCCCACCAAAGGCATACTCTTCATTGTGCTCTTATATAATACAATGCTTCGAATTGGACACTTTCCATGGCAATGGAAAAGCTCTCTGATTGCCATGATTCCAAAACCCAAAAAATCGGTCACGCAAGTCGAATCTTATCGACCAATCAGCATGCTTTCGACCCTCTCCAAAATATTCGAAAGAATATTAATGGCCAGAGTGTCGGGCTGGATTGTGTTAAGCACATCATACCAAGGCATCAGTTCGGATTTTGAAGACGGCGTGGGACACCGGAGCAGCTCCACCGAGTGGTGGATTTCATCCTCGACAGCTTCGAGAACCTCGAGTATTGCGTCGCGGCATTTGTTGACATCAAACAAGCGTTTGACCGAGTGTGGCACGAAGGACTCCTGTTCAAAATAAAAACTTTGCTTCCCACCTCTCTTTTTCATATAATCCACAGCTTCCTCAAAAACAGAAAGTTTATAGTGGTAGTCGACGGCACGTTCTCTGGAGTCAAGGAAATCCAAGCTGGAGTCCCCCAGGGCAGCGTCCTTGCTCTGTGGCTCTACACTGTTTACACAGCCGACATGCCGACGGTGGACCCGACGACACTGGAGCATCGCGATAGCTTCAACCTCGCCACGTTCGCCCACGATACAGCAATCCTCTCAAAAGCCAGATGTGTTTACCAAGCCACTGACCAACTGCAAGAATACCTGCACGAGTTTGAGACGGGGGCATCAAAGTGGCGGATTGCCATCAACATGCAAAAATCGATATGCTGCACATTCGCGATCCGGAGAGATACCTCGCCAGGAGTATTCCTCCAAGGCGTACTTCTTGATCATAAAGACGGCCATCGCTACCATGGAGTCTACCTTGATCGCACATTGCAACAACATGCCACAGCGTACGTCAAAAACTAAAAAGTATGGCTTGGCTCCTTAAGGCAAACAGCAAGCTTTCTCTGAGCAATAAGGTGCTGCTTTATAAAACCCTCCTGGCCCCAGTCTGGCGCTATGCAAGCCAAATTTTCGGCACGACAGCAAAATCTCACTTAAGGAAAATAAGTGTCTTCCAAGCCAAGGTACTCAGACTGAGTGCTGGGGCTCCCTGGTACATCCGCAACCGGGCCCTAGCAAGAGACCTAAAGGTCCCCTTGGTGGGTGACCTTCTACGTCAGCAGTCCACCAGCTACATGGCCCGTCTTTCAGCCCACCCCAATATATTGGCTAGAAGACTATTCAGAAGAAAGCGACGGAGACTTCGCAGAATCCTCCCAAACCGGGTAATCATTTGATAAAAAAAAATAAAAATAATGATAATCATAATCATAATAAAAATATAAGATAAATTGAATATCCCATTATAGTTAGGTAAGTAAGCTAGGTTAAGATGCTCATGAATAGTATCAATAAATTAGCTAATAAAGAGAGAAAAAAAAAAAAAAACTAATTATAGTAATTCGATTGGCAAATAATTTTATTGTAATTTTAATCGTTTTTTTTCTGTCCGTCCGTATGTATGAACGCAAGGATCTCAGAACCTATTAGAGCTAGAGACTTGAAATTTTAGCTGTAGGTCCTCCTAGTGCCTGCGCAGATCCGATATTCGATAACTTGCCCCGTTTCCAAGTAATCGATAAAAATCGATATCGAATTCCTGTTTTTTGAGCAATTTTGGTAAATAATATCAGCAAGAGTCACCAAACTTGACATGTAGCTTCTAGAATAGTATATGTATATATATCAAGTATCTTTCATTTTATACCTATCGCCTGTTGGAAGTAGAGGGTTCAAGGTATCCCCTAGTCCCCGACTAGAACCTCTTACTTGTTTCTTCTGTATTTGTCGCACATTTCGAATCTTTGGGATTCTTTCCGTGTTACGTTTCAAGAAAAAAGACTCTTTGAGTGCATTGTTCAGATTCATTTAATATCGTAAAGTACTCTGTACTTAATTTTTTTAATTGGCTCAGCTAATGAATTCGAATCTCTGACTAAATTATTGAATTATACTCACCAATTTATCAGAATAATTATTACTAAACTCAATGAGTTACGTATGCAACAATATTATTTTTATTTTCATAAAAAAAGATCTTCCAACAACATTTGAAAATCAATGTTCACGTATAAATTTCATGTTTTTTTTCGAAACCTTATTTCTTTTTTGAAATATAAAATTGAAATTTATACATATTTCTCGGCTAATCTACTCCCTCTGAAATTCCCCTAAAATTTCGAGACAGATGCTTGTTTCTCGCTCTACTCCGTTAGTGTCAAAGGCCTTAAATGTGTAGACAAGCTTGTGTCGTCCAATTAAAGTTAATCCTCGTGCCTCGAACAATAAATCTACATTAAACGGCTCGTGAATAAATTTAGTCTAGAAGAGAAGGACATATGTTGTGTATAAGTAGATAATATAACTAGATTATATAGTTATTATATAGAACTTACTCCAGGCAGAATGCATTTCTCTCTGACTTGTTCCTTATTGATTATGTATTTCGACCAATACTTGTACCAGTACTGTTCTTCTTCATAGAGAGATGAACAGAAGTCACGGACATTTATATTGAATACTGTTGGCTGCCAGGATCCACGATCGAAACGTTTTATTTCAAAAGTCATCTGAAATTAATAATAGTAAAAATGATTGTGATGTTTCAATCCATATTCATTTTATCTTAGAGTGATTTAAATTCACTCAAACAATGTTGAAGTTAATAACCTGAATGCGATCGCCAGGTTGAATATTCCAGACGCAGGTAAGATTGCCCGTAAAGAGTACCGTCACAAAATCCGTTTCAAAGGTTCCCTCAGAGGTATCGAAAACTCCATTAATATTGTGTACATTACTTGGTTTATTGGGACAGTCGGTGAATATATCCTCATTTTCAAGAAGGAACTTATATTTTGTAGCACTCGATTGTCTTCCGAATAAAATCAAAATCAACACCTGGTATACAAACTTTGGTGGGGTCCACATGTTTTGGATGTTCGCGTTGTTTAGTCGAATCAATTTCGAATTGGTTTTCGTGCATTACGGCTGTGGCTTTTTATACACTAAAATATAAATTATATAACACGTGCCAAATACACAACAATAATTAAACATGTTTGTTAGATCGCACCTAATGTCAACATGCTACTAGTTATATCGCTCAACATTTATGTGTATTTTTAACATCGTAATTGTAGTAATGTAATTGGCAAATGATTTTATTTTAATTTTAATCGTTTTGCTTGATTTATAATAAATCACAGCATGCAAGGATGATTTGTAAAATATTGTACAATATTTCGATTTTAACGCCCAAAGTGTTATTCATTCTATATTTGTCGCACATTTCGAGTATTTGGAATTATCTCTGTAGCATTGCTGTTGATAGCATTCAATATAGACACGCGTGAAATTGTGTGTGTGTATGTTTACATAAATTCTTAGACTGCCAATATAAATATATATAGCCACACGTTTGCTTTAATAACTTTCGTGTTTCTAAACCGATCTTGATCAAATTTTCAACAATAAATCTTATTGTGCTAAAGTATATTTGTATATTCTCAAAAAGTTAATTACATTAAAATTGTGGCATAAATTGGTTGGCAATACAAATTGGTTTATCTATAAGACTTATCGCTATGTGGTGGTAGCGGGGAAGTGGCGATAGCTATAGAATGAAAGATACTTGATATATATATATATATTTATATATATATTATTCTATAAGCTGCAAGTCAAGTTTGGTGACTGTAGCTCTTATAACTTACAAGATTTGCTCAAAAAGCAGGTTTTTTATATCGATATTTATCGATTACTTGGAAACGGGGCAAGTTATTAATAATGCGCAGGCACTAGGAGGACGTACATTCCAAATTTCAAATCTCTATCTCTTATAGGTTCTGCGATCCTTGCGTTCATACATACGGACCGACGGACAGACGTACAAACGGACGGACGGACGGACAGATAGACAGAAATGGCTGGATCAACTTAGCCATTGATGGTGATCAAGAATATATGTACTTTATGGGGTCTGGGATACTTCTTTCTGCCTGTTACATACACAATTACATTATACCGCTTTTACCCATTTTTATAAAATTTAAAATTATTTCATATGTTATTCATAGCTAGCTTACATATTTAAAGTCGGTTGGTTTTTGGTTACTAAAATGTTTACTTAAGATTTTATGAATCTCAGTTTGATTTACTGAATCATAGTACGCAGAATCTTCAGAAAACCAATATATTTTTCCATACATTCATTAGTTTTATTTAATGCATGTCTCCAAATCTCGTGACAAATCACTTTAATGTATATTACTGAATCATATTTTTATTTTTTTAGGCTCCAATCTATCAAAGCCTTAATATTTTAAATATTTATAAGCATATTTTACAAATTTGAAAGATGTGCCGCCACGTGTCCTTTAAACGTTAAACATTTAAGCATTTTTTATATTAATAAGTCCAACATGAAGTATGTTTATTTTGCGAATATAATTTATCTTATCTTATATTAAAGTAGACCATTCTCCAGATAAACATTGCCCCATGGAGGATCTGAAATATTTCAAACTAAGGATTAAAGTGTGCAACATTCATATACAGAATATTTTACAAATTTGATTAAGTATATCGCTTTAAATATAATTGTCTTTTAGCTTTGATATATTTAACTCAGCATTCTCTGAGTACATTCTGAACAATGATAAAGGGCAGCTGCTTTACTTCTTTTAAATTTCATTCACTGTCATTTGAGCTGAATATAAATTATAACAATTAGAATTATTGAACATGACTAATGAACAAATATTGATTTAAAACTTTCACAATGCGCACAAAACGTCACAAAGCCCGAATATGTGAAATGGATGAGCAAATAGCCAACCCGAGAGGTAAATAAAACCAAGATGCCAGCTCCTACTCAGGGTGGGTTTGTCCACAGCCTGCGGCTGACTCCTTGCCTTGATTTGCATAGTTTGTCTACCCACAAAGCAAAAGGAAGCTGGGCAGATGACCCAGTCAGGCCACAGACAGAGATAGAGAGAGAAAACTAGGTTGAATTTATTTAACTTAAGCGATTCGATTTAGTGTGTTAAAATGGGCTGCTATTAATTAGGTGCTGTCACGGATGTGACTATGAATCGCAGGACATGCTATATGGGCTACGCATTACGAGAATATTTGAATAATTTGCGTATTTTTCTATTTGAAAGAACACTTTTTTTTTGTTTTTGTATAGAATTAATGAAAAATGATGCTGACCCTGGCGCACCCTTGACAAAAGGACTTGATCAAATATGCAAATGAGTGAGCAGCGGGGAGCGGGGAGAGCAGCGGATGAGCGAGCGAGCGGGATGCACAGATATCCTGTGTGAGGATCACGCTTGCAACCCTTTGCTCTGGGCCGCGTCCGATCCGCGAACGTGTTGTGCATAAATTAGGCGCTTTTTTATCCTTTTGTTTGTTCACCCTTTGCTGAGCCGTTTCTTAAGCATTTCCTAGCGCGTCCGCATGGAAATGAGGCAAAAAATCCGGATTTTTTTTTCTAGCTGTCTTCCTTATGTGCGTGCGTGTGAGTCGTTCTTCTATTATCCTTGATCGTCACCCAGGCCTGTGGGTAGTCTTAGCCCTAAGCCTTGAAAGTAAAAAAAAAAAACGTAAGAAAAAAAATCGTGAGAAAATTTCCAGCCTCAAATATTCAAATGAGCTTCCAAAGGCTGCTCGTTGCATACTTTTTTGGGTAGTTGTTTTTTTTCTTGTTTTTTAGCTGTCCTCGCATAAAAAATCATCAGGCTGCGAGCGCATCCTTGCTGCATGCGCGCCTTTTATTCGGCTCGTCAGTTTTTTAACCCATTTTTTTAAGGCTGCATTTTTTATGCTTGACTACAGAAAAAAGTCGTTTATAATTGGGTCTCGTTTTTTAGCGCGCGTTTTTTTTTCCACAAGAGACCTTTTGTATATATGTATGTTAAAATGCTGCAGGACAAGTTTTTTTTTGAAGGCACTTTGAATGAGTATTGTTAATTCGTTACTGTAAGTTTTTAGCTTGGCGGGTATTTTTATTTGATTTTTTTTTTGGATTTTCTGAATTGAAATTATTTTTACTTTTTTTTGTGATTTTTTTTGGCTCAAAGGTTAGCGTGAAAATGTTAATTAAATTGATGTTAGTGCGTCATTTTGGCTGCTTTCAAACAGGATAACAAACTACGCAGTTCCACTAGAGAAACACGTGCGTTATATTCAGCTTTTTGTTGGACTTCTGAAGGGTTTGCAATTGCAGGGAATGTTAAAAAAATGGCCTGTCCGATTTTCAAACGCTTGTAAATATTCGTATATGGTTGATTGAAAAATGCAAAAAGCAAAAGATTAATTTGAATAACGATTAAGTCAACAATTAACCAGTAAAACCCTTTGAGAGTGAAATATTATTTCAATATAGTTGACATGGAGTTTTGAAAATCACAAGAAAGGAAATGATAGAGGTCTTTAGAGGTCTAGTAAAATCATTTTTAAAAGCGAGAGATTTTTTAATATATTTTAACAGGAATAATTAAAGACAAAAATGTTTTATATGATTTATTCCAAAAATAATTATATAACATTTGTAAGTTTATTTTAATAACTATTTACCTTAATATTTGGAAAAGTAATTTTTTTCTGATGTATGTATTTACGTCAAACATATTAATTTAAAAAGTCATAAAACTAAGGATCTTTTGCTTTAATCTTTTCCATATGATATATATACTGATGTATATTTGCTAATAATTCTACATATTTACGTGTTATTGAGCAGTTAAAAGAAGCTTAACAATATATATAGGCTGATTGTAAATTGGATTCTATAAACCTCAACAACTGCAACTCCAACTCTTAACTCCCCTCTAACTTCTGAACCAATGTTTTACATATCTCAACCATCTGTTTGCAAAGATGAACACCTGAATCCTTTGCTGAACAGAATCCAGGCAAAGGGAAGTTTAAAGAGATACATTAAATAATATTGATATACCAATTAGCATTTTTTGCCCCAAATTTTTATGATTCTTATCCCATTCGGTTTCTATAATAGAAGTTTTACGTCAGATTTGAGTGGATATCATTACCCACAGATCATCGAGCATAATTGGCCGATCAATGCAAATTCGTCTCAGATCTATAATTGAAACTCCGCAAAATTCGCAAAATGACAAAATACAGATAGGCATTAATAACATATCAATCGAAATGATAATCAGTTGGGCCACAAAATACCACTGAAATTCGATGCAAACAATGCCACAAGAACCTCAGCAATTAAACCCATTGTATAAGGTGCATTTGAGCGCAGAGGGCATACAAAAGTGTGCAAAAAAAAAGAGAATAGGACTCTAAAGGGAAGGGTGCAAAATATAATAATAGACACAAAATCGCATCAAATTTCACAATATCGCACCTTATTAGAATCGAACAATAAGCTGAATGGCAAAGATACAAATAGAGATGCGGCGAACAAAGACTTGGAGAGAAACCAATATGCAAAACCAGCTAGAGAATGGCATGTATGGATCGCTGAATGCGAGAACAACAAAAAGGCGCACACGGCCAACAACAAGAAGTTATGGGAAAAACATACACACCTCCTCGCCTCTTGTGGCTGTCTGCACCGTACCGGGCTAATCGGAGCACCCCACTCGATATAGAGTATTGTGCGCATTGTGTAATAATTTCATAAATAGTTTATCCATAAGAATCGCTGAATGCCGACTAAACGCTTTTGCGAATTGCACGGGTTACATTTGAGCCCGCAGCCAGTCAGCAGCGGCTTCACACGCACAAGACTCGAACCCGAGTCCTTTTCTTATGCTAAAATCAATGAGGGGCTGCTGGGTCTGCGCCGAGGGTTGTGCAACCCCTGAGTATCCCGGGCGTCTACTCCACGGCGATTCGCAGTGAAAGCAATTTTGTGTGTTTTGATTATGTCTGGAGTTTAGAAACCATAAATCTATTGATGGCATTGATGCC